ATATATATATATATATATATATATATATATATATATATGAGTTAATTATTCCTACACTGCTAGTATAAAGTTTTTGGTTCTTGAAGATTAATCAAAATTAATTTTAGTCGAAAGTCGTAGTTTTTGAAAATATAGTGAAGTTGGTCATTGATGCCATATAGCATCTACGTCACATGTGGCTGACGTATGGCAACCATGAGGTATTCGTTAACCTCAATATCAAACAATGAAGTTAGGGTGAGAACCAATTTTTATATATACAAAGACCAAATCCATCAATTTAAAAGTAAATGGACTGAGATTAAAATTGGAAAAATAAACCTAAACCATTTTCACTTTTTTTTATTCTTTAATCTAATGTTATGTAATCATTAATTTATATAATAACTGTTTTTATAATGACTTAATCACTACCTATTAAAAAGACTAACTTTAGTGTGAGCAACCATAATAGGTGGTCCATATGGAAAAAAATAAATTTCATTCTTAATTTTCGACTATTACACCGTATAAATGTATAAAATATTATCATAGTTTCTTTTTAATATATTATTATTTCTCATCATATTCATTACTTCTGATACTAATACCTTTTTTTTTCTTCCTCCCTTCCACCCTCTTCATCATTATTGTTCCTCTTTCTCCAACTCTCTTCAGCTTCTTCCCCTTCCCCTTCCCATTTGTGTCCCCACCCCTCCATGTTTTGAATAGCCAAAAAGGTTACAAATGTGAGGTTATGTTTGCGAAAATAATAATTATTTCAATGTTATTATTGGTATATTAATTGTTTTGATATTATTGATATTAAAAATATTTCTTTATTATTTGTCAACATGCTAATTCTTTTTTTTTATTATTATATAAAGAGAGTGGGTCATAAAAAAGAGAATATTATTTATTTTTAAATTTTCCTTCATATTCTCTATTTTTTTTTGGTATTATTTGTGAAACTCTAGGGTGTTTAACATCGAGGGCATGAGTTTGAACATGTCACTTTGTAAATCTTAGAGAGAAAATCGATTATTGGATAGCATCAAAGGTCGACTAAAAATTTGCTTTCAGGACAATGATTTTTTGCTATGTCACAATATTCTCTTTCATTCTCCTCTACTAATATTTTCTAACAATTCAAAAGTAAAATTGTTATCTCTTTTGATTGTATTGTTCATTTAATCATAATAAAAATATTGAAAATACATACACTATCAAATGCTTAAACGCATGCAACTAATGTGTATAAATAATGTACAAAATGAAAGTGTAAA